GAACCTGACTCCTGGGCTCTTGCAAGCATCTCTGGGCGGTCAAGTGGCCTGAGGAGGTTCGCAATCTCATCAAAGGGCCTCAACATCGGGCCTCGAAGAAGCAACATCTCACGCTGCAAGTCATTGAGGTTGGCGTGCTTGAGAAGGATCCTCCCGCATAGTTTGTCGTTGACCACCTCTCCCATCTGCAGTTCCATCTCCTGTCGTGACAGCTGCATTGCTGCTATGAAAGCCGTGAAGGATTCTCCACGCTGCCTTTCTCCTTCAAACAGGAACTTGTCGATTGCTTGAGGAGCTGAAGCTTCCAAGAACGGTGCGTACTTCTGGTGTAGAGCTCCAAGGATGGCTGCATAGCCACCAGGGGACAAGAGCACCTCTGTGGGAATCGTGTCTGCTATCCGTCGAGGTTGAGATCCTTCAGGGAACGATTGAAGGAGCTTGATCCCACGCTTCTCCATGGGGACATTCGGCTCGTACTCCCACAATGCAAGGAGCTTCAACCAAGACCTCAACGTGCTTGGCGAGCCGTTCCACGACGGCAAAGGTCGTCTCTCGCCCGTCAGGGCTTGGTTCACGGCATTTGCAATCAGCTGTTCTGGAGTCTGGGAGCCCGGAGCTTGTGGCGTAGAAGAACTTGCTGGAGCTTGCTTTCCAAGCATAGCGAAGGCATTTGTAGGTGAAGCGTCATTGGGCTGCTGTCCATTGCTGCTGCCTAAGGCACTAGCGAAGGTCGCCGCCGAGAACTGGGTCGTCGCCAAGAACTGGTTTGGTGCTTGCTGTGGAGCACCACTGGGTGAAAAGGCTGTCGCCTGCTGTTGCTGCTGCTGCGACGTCTGTGGCATCACCTGTGGTGTTCCAGCCACCGTCTGGGGCACGCTACCAGTCGTCGTCCAGGTCGTCGAGAACCCGGGTGGCGTCCATGGCATAGTCCCTGCAGCTTGGCCTGAGGAGGCTCCCCACCGAGGGTTCCGTTGGGAAGCATCAGTGGGTAGCCATCTGGCCCATGGGTCCCAAGACCCCTTCATCCAAGCATGAAGAACTTGATGGTATAGATCAGGATCTCCAAGGTCCTTGTCTCGTAGCTCCGCCTACCACTGTAGAGGTAGGATGTCGAAAAACAACCGCTATCGCTGCGGGCGAACGCTCCCTTTCCTAACTGCGCAACCGGATCAGCTCAAGCGCTAAACAGCGACGGCATTCGACTGAAGTCTCAAGGGTCCTCAAGAGTGAACATGTCTTCATCACATCAAAACCATGTGAAGAAAATGTTAAAGACATTATACGGCCACTTATCTGCCTTACATTCTTGACTGAATTTAAGAGACTGTCTTTAATTACAATACCAACCCCTGCGTTTTCAAAGTCCGGCTCTGAACGGTAATTGCAGGCCGCGTTAGGATTACGAGCTCCCGTGAGGCGATCTCTTTCCCTTTTTTTCTCTTCCCTTTCTTTTGTTACTGCAGCGATACTTGTACTAAAGAAGGCTGTGGCTCCATCCCAACTTTCCACCACATTTGCATTTATATTAGCTTCTGAAAGTAAAAGGATCTCTTATTTTTCCTGCTTCATAATATTCGATATCACTTCCCGTTTCGCAATATGATTTAATCCACGAACGTTCAGCGTCGCAACCTTGATATGCTGATATGGTAAGAGTCCATTCTCTTTGGCTGACTTTGTCCAGATGCCAGAGAACTGCGGGTTTGTAGATCTAGCATGCAAGGTTGCGAATGCTGATTTAAACTCATGTTTCATTGCGCGCTTGTTTGTCCTAAACCAGTCTTTACATTTATGAAAGACCTTTATACTCAAGACTAACTACGGGTGTAGTATAATTACACCGGCGACCGTTGGCACCGGAATCACCTTGCTTCCCCAATCTGACAGGCACCACACTGTTGCAGAAAGCACATCCAAATGCACACACATCACATGGGTGCCTGCCCAATGTCTAAACACAAACCCTCAGCTCATATGCGTTCTTCAATAACCAATAGCTAAATCATGAAACTTCACTCATTGCACAAATCATAGACAAGCAAGAACGGAGAAGTGCCACGGTCAAGCGAGGCTTCACTGCAGTGCTGGTTGCGTGCATGTACAAATTCACAAGTGAATTGCTGATAAAATATTTTTGATTATTGCCCATGCCAAGCCAGGTGCTGCACTCTTTACCATGATAAATAATGCATCTAATCTTATACTACAAATGTTGATGCAAATGCAGTCCCACTTCAAGAACGAAGCGGAGGCTGTCTGAAGTTAGGTAACGTACTATACAACATTATACAACCCATTTGCAACTATATATGTACTCCTCCCATGCCCGCCCATGCCAAGCTGAGAAGTTCGAGGCGCCCTTGCAGGCGTCAGCAAAGGCCAGTGCGAATGAAAAACTCATGAAGCCAAACAGCTGCAGCTGCCTTTTTCATCCTTTCTGCAAAAATTCTTGCATCCTTTTGCTATCTGTTTAATCTTTTCATGCTTTCTCTCACCCAGGTCCCGTGGCTTCATCCTAGCTCTTGTTGCCCAAAATTCCCCTTTAATGGACAAAAGGTGCGCATGACCGCATGTTGTCCTTGCAACTCATCTTTCTGTCGCTTTGGTGGCGGTGCCTCGCACTTGGGCTTGCTTGCTAGCAAACAAATGCACAAGCATCACCTTGCTCAGCATTGCCTCCCTCTCTCGCTATCTAGAATCTAGACTCTAGATTCTAGATTCTTCTTGTGCTCGCAGCTACTCCGCACAGTCGGAGAGGAAGTGAACCCTTGATGGTGAGGCCTACGCTCAAGAAACAATCCACTAGAGCTGGCACCTGCCTCCACCATGTGACGACGGTGATCTATTTGCATGCGCAATACTCAAAATGGAGCACCAAATGGCAGCAACAAAGCAGTGCTATATACTTGGCATGCCTTGCGATACGATGCTAATATGACCGAACTGTGCTGCGTCTTTTGCTGGCGCCTGATTTGCACGGGCATCTGTTCGTGGAGCTGCCAATTGCCTGAGAAGGGCTGACAAAAGCCTCATGCCTTGGCTCTGCCTTTGGCAGGTTCTTTCTACGTCTCTGCAGGCAAAATTGGAGCACGAAAAGCAAAAAGAGCCGTCTTTGACGGCTTTGCTTCCTCCGTTCCAAAAACATCGCCCCGTCCCCAAGCCTCTGTTTTGTGCCTACTGAAGTGTGAGATCCAATAATGGAAGGCCCATTGCTGGGCCAAGTGTCATGCTTTTCGTAGATACCTGCCTGCTGAGGTTCAGGAAACCGTTGTAGATGTGGTTCGAGCGCGTCTCACTTGAATTAAAATTGTTCGAGTGGGGTGGACTGAAGGATCGGATGGCCAAAGGAAAAATTGTCGCATGTTGTCACTACTCTGTCTGAACTCTGAACCACACATGAGAACGGCGCCCCCTTTGTAATTATTTGAAGGCCCCTTGACTATGAGCTACTCATTGAAGGGATGCCATTAGCACGACAATCCATGCCGGATGTGGTGAGACACGTGGGAAGGGCTGGCCAGCCTGGCAGAAGCATATCATACACCATCAATGTCTTGCACAAAAAACTCTATAATGTATGGGTGCTGTTTCAATTTGAGTTCTTAGTTCTTTTCTGCTTTTTTCAGCATCCTGGGACCTCACACTCGCTACCACTTACAGCAGTTTGAGTGTCCTGTTTACAACCCTTTGGACATGCACCGTCTACATCCGTCTGCATCCGCAGCTGATGTCAGCGGTTGGGCCTCCCTTTAAATCTTATATACCATCAACTGGCTCACAAAAGGTAAGCTACGTTGGAATGGTTCCTAAACTTAACCCTCGGTTGGCTCACAAAAGCTATGCCCCTTTACGTTTTCCTCGGAATGATTCCCCTTCCTGATCCAAACTTTGCCCTCAGTTGGCCCACAACAGGTATGCTATGTTGGTCCTCGTTTAAATGTTGCCCTCAGCAGGTGTCTCACAACAAGGTATGCCACCTTGGAATAGTTCCCTCCTCCGCTAAATGTTATTAAGATTTACCCTTAAGTCGGCCCACCAAAGGTATGCTATGTTGGAGTGGTTCTTTCCTCCACTAAATTCGATCCCGAGTGCAAAAGTAGGGAGTACACTTGAATATCTGCATTTGTTCCTGAGTTCAAGGCAAGCACAGCATCCTTAAGCCTTAAGCAACACCGCCGGGACAAAAAAAAACTGGAAGCCTTATTAGCAAGTTGTAAGTGACAGGCACATTTTGGATGCCAGCCTAGGCACAGCACAGGAAGCAATAGGGAGCAATGCTGGAGAAGACGTAGCACAGATTTTGTTTAAGTTGTTGGTGCAGTACAGCATGGTCAACAATTGAAACAAATCGGTTTTCGTGGCAGGTGCCGCAAGTGGAAGAAATAATGCATTTCGTGGCGATGGAGGGGGTTGCGGGGACGCAGCGCCTCCCCCCAGGGCGAACCAAACATAACAAATAGCAAAAGCAATAAAACAAAAATGGGCCCGTACCAAAAGCAACGAAAACAACAAAATCAAGAAACAAATAACAAACCCGCAAAACAATCCCAAAAAATGAACATCGCTGCCCACTGTATGTGTTTTTTCATGTTTTTTCTTTTTATGTGCCCGGATTGGCATCGTCACGTCTGCCAAAGTCATGTTCATTGTCAACACCTGCCTGCAATTATTGTGAGGTTGAGCAAATAACTTTATCTCCATCTTGCGCCAAAATGGTCGCCACCAGCATTCACTCCCTCATTGTTCCTACAAACAGCCCTGCTGCTGTTTTCCACACAACCAGGGTTTCCCGGAAATCAAACATTACTATTGGATGAAATGCCCGGAACCAACCAAGATCGGTACTGTACTGCGTAAACCATTGATGCACTCAAAGGGCAAAAAGGCTGTTGTTCCAAGGACATTTAGAGTCAACCACACAGCCAAATCGAGTTTGGAAATCCGAAGCCAATGGTCAATCCCGAGAAACATACTCTTCAGCGACCGCTTCAAAATCCAGCCTATGTGAATGTCATTGTGGCGGTGGTCGTTCGCATGTAGATTCTGCGGTAGTCATCGGGGAACAACGCCTTCATGAATTCTTTGTCATCGATTCCTCCCGAGGCATCGGTATCGAAGAGCTCGAAAAGCTCCTCCGCCTCTGATGGTCTGATGCCGACATTCATTTTGCCGATCATATCCTGAGTTCGTTCTTTTGCATTAAAGACACTGCAAGTCCCGAGAAGGAGCAAAAAGTGAAGTATATATATATATACACAAAGAACAAAAACATCTTTGGACAGTCGAACTGGGACGTCACGCTATTGAACCTAGTAAGCCTCTGTTGCCTATGGCTATTGAACTATTGAAGTTAGGGCAGGCATCGCAAAACTCATCCATTGTAAGTTCGCCATTTCCATTGCTGTCGAACTTTCTGAATAACGATGGCATGTCACCTTGGATGTGAAGCGGGAGACAATTGTTCTTGGTACTTCCGTTCCTTTCCATGCTTGATCCTTTATGAGCATGCCACGTTGTGCTGCCTCACACTGCCGGCCAGCAGCTTGCTTCATAGCCATAGTTCTTGAGTCTCTGACGGGTTCTTGTCATCAGCAATATGCGGCTCCGGTCCGCCCAGGCATGTGTCATCGCCTATATGATGGACTCATCCGACCGGCCGACAGGCCAAGCCGAAGATTTGGAATACCCTTATCATGGTCTATATCGTACGAGCGGGGTCGCTAGAACTTGGAAGGTAGTTTTTAACACGCTTCTTGCCAAGAGGCATTTCCCAGCACGGAGATCGGCATCGCCATAAAAAGCACGCTGATAAAGCATAGCACTCCAGCCAATACTCTGCCAGAATTCGTTGTTGGTGTCACGTCGCCATACCCCACTGTGGTCACGGTCACTGTGCAAATGTACATTGCTGTGGTCAATGAATTGATATTCTCGTGAGGCTCCACCACATACATCAAAGTAGAGAAGCACAGCACGATCACCTCGCAGTGAACGTCGACTCCGCTCTTTGTTTGAGAATGGTGTCTTCTGATGCATGCATCTACGAGCTCAAAGTGTGCTGCAGCCACTTCCTTCTACATACTGGTGGTAGGGCTAACAACACTGCAGCGGAGTCGCTGAAAGAAGAAAAAGCAACAGTTTCAATGCATCTCCGGTCGTGGCAAGGGCGTGAGTCACGAGGCTGAGTTTGCCAAACCGACGGATTAGCTTTAGCAGGCGAACTGTCGGCACAACGCCAACTTGCCATCAGGACACTGCGCCAGTCTAGCTACGCTCTGTAGGAAAGCTGTAGGCTTGGACTCTTTGGTTCTTATTATAGGTTTCTCCGTCGTATTTCATGTGTGTTGCGTTCCGTCTTGTTGTTTGTTTATTCCGTAAAAGCGATCTGGCAAATAGAAACAATGGCAAAACAGTCCAAGCGCTCTCACTTCAGCAGGCAATGAGGTGCTGGCCAAGATGTAGTGGCTGACGGCTTTCTGGTCCACTGTGGGCAGCTCAAAACCATTTTCTAGTCGCAAAGCCAACGGAACAACGGCGGCAATGTCAACCAAATTCATTGGGTCTCGGAAAGCCACCTGCAAAAGTGCAACTTGCAGCACAACCTCACAGCCTGTATTATAGGATTTATAGGAAGGGTGAGTTGAGGAGGCCTCCAGCCATTTCTCCAAACGCTCTCAATCAATCAGAATTTGCGCGAGAGCCAGAGCTAGTGCTAAAGTATTCTCTCTATCTTTGGCTGCACAGCTTCTTGCGGGCGAAAACATATTGCGCACGTGCATGTCAAAAGTCAGACTTATTTCGCTTCGTGGGGAGTTGCTGGGGCAGCCCCTTGTTTTCAATGAACCCAACACCTGTGACTTTGTACATAAGTGTGACATCCGTATATATGTCAATTTATGTGTAACTAACTTTTAGTTTCAACTAGTTTAAATCTTATACAATTCAATCAGTTGTTTTACAATTCTAGTCTAATTCTATGTTGCTTTCCAATTCAATTTTGTTTCATTCTAATTTATAGTTCAATGCAACTGTTTTTCGGATTCAATGCATTAACTGCACAGAAATTAAATTGAAAAGCAGTAAATATTGCATAGAAATAGTTTTCTTTGAATTCCAATGACAAAAGACTATATTGGAATTTACTCAACATTAAAATTCAATTGAATGATAAGTAAAATCCTAAATGACCTAATTTTAATTCAATTCCAACTGAATTCCAATTCAAATGCTACGGTAATTAAAATTCAATTCTATTTAAAATGTCAAACAATCTACTTTACCGCTTCAAGCCAACAAGTGCAAAGAGCGGGCA